ATCACAACGTGGTGCGATCATCCCCCTTGCGCGGAGTGAGGGTTCTCGACCCCGCACAACATGATCTACTCGACCACCATTATGGGTACCGCAAAAAAAAAAGCACGGGGGAGGGGGTGCAAAGTAACGTTTTTGATGTTCTGTACCCCGGCTTGAGAGAGACATCATGATTCGCGCCAAAAAAAAAGCTCCAAGCGTATGTAGGCGGATCGAGTCAAAATATTGCCACCTCTCTCAACTCTTGTCATTCTCCTGGGACACGCTGTCACTTGACCCTGTCCCTGCGTCGTCATAACCATTACCATTACCACTACCCTCACTACGACATGCCTTTTCACATCCAGGTGCTCGGGCCCAACGGACGATCAATACATTGCACGCCAATACGCGATGCTTCCTGAGAGGGTAGCCACAAGGGAACACGCGCCGGCCGCTGTAAAAATATGGACAGCAACACCGGCCGCTGCAGCGTGAGCAGTGGCAAAATACACAAAAGTACGCCATAACTCTTAACTACACTGTCGCTCATGAGCAGCAGCTGATGATGCTGCCTACTGGGTCTCTGCGTGCGCAAAACCAGGGGCTTTCCTACGTCCCTCAGCAGCCAGTCCTGATTCCCACCTGGGCATTTCGGGACTGCTGTTGTCGATGCTGTCTCGGAACGAGCACCATGATTCGACTCCCTCCGCTCACGTCCGGGGGGCAGCGAACCTGCCCAAACGCACCACCATCGCCCACGTTAACGTTATCCTTGTCGGCATCCACCACATACTGTATCATATCGATCCCAGTCGAAATCGGAAAGTTGAGTGGAGTACACGCACGTGCTGTACACCGCAACTCGCTGCTAAACTTTGACGAGAAAGAATTAGGAAATACCAGAGGCCACCACGGTTCTTTGCCATCAAGAAAAAACTCTGCTGGGAAAAAAATTTTCATCTCGTCCACATCGGCCAGTCACCCACACTCACCACCATCGGCAGACCTCCGGCCATGACCTGGAATTCCTGCCCCGGTCTCACTCCGTTAGGTACCGTCACCGTGTACGGTATGGAATCAACATTGGTGCGGGAACCCGCCCCGGGGATGGAATACGCTCCGGGATTTTGTTCCGCCTAGACGAGCAGGGGGTACGAAACGCATCGTCATGTGTAGGCCCGAAAGCCGGCCGGTGTGTGGAGATGGGGAGGATAGCACAAGTTTAGTTCATGGTAGCGACAGCCGTGTATTCGGACACATTTGACCGCACCACGGTATATTCCGTGGGGGTGTGCGAAAGAAGCGGGGCTTTGCCTTTTGACGTATTGCCCATCTGAAAATCGTACCACGAGATCAACACCACTCTTGCAAGCACATTGCCGCAAACGACGTAAGGCTTCGGGCATGACGTACAGCTGTATGGGCCGGAATCCGTGCAAGCGAGAACAAAGCACAACGTGCATAGCAGTGCTACAGCTATCTAGTTAACACGAGCGTTTCCAACATGGGTTGTTTACCCCGTCTTCCATCTTCTCTCTGCTGCACGACACTGAAGATGCCTGCGTTTGGTTCACAAAGGCAAACACAAGATTTGTTTCCGCCAAAGCGCTGGTTGCCAGGTCACACACACGTGACTGCCAGTTGATCTCGTAGGAGAGAACAACATGCCATCCCCTCCCAGTGCTGCTGCGTTCGTCTCTTCAAGAACGCCAGTCAAACGCATGTGAGATTCGCTTGTACTGCTTTGTCACGAAACTAAAACATGTAGCGTCAGTCCAGAGGGCGCCACCGTAAATGACCACAAACAACATTCTGTCAAGCAAACTCGAGGAATTCGACTGCCCCGCTCTGCCGTACTCCATGGCCAAGCCAACGTGTTTTACTACAAAGCCCATTTCCTGACGTGCTTATGGTACTGTATCTACAAGTAGTTGCGTGGAGGACCGTATGCGACACACACGCTTCTACGAAGCTAGTCCTAGGGTAAATAACAATATTTCACGGGGGTAATGTTCGGTTGCGCCATCGAAACACACAGTCAGTACAAGCTAGATAGACTCCCCGACCCATATCGTCTCCGTGCCTAGGTCAGAACTTTCTGCACACTACACGACGAGACCCTCTGTCGGTTTCCGTTGTCTTTCTCCAACGTTCAGCGAAGGAGGGGAAAGTTCCAATAACAACCTCAATCAACGGCATGGGAGGAACAGGCCTACGCTTTTGTACGAGAAATTCAATCGATCCCACTTAACAAAACGCTGCAGGAACGCGCACTCCACCCCTCCAGCTACTGCTCAACAGCAGTGCCCCAGCACAAAGAAGACACCGCGGAGAGACCCGATCAGCCGATCGCGAAGAATTAATTAGCGCTGATGATGATGCATCATCGCCTGTGAAGACGTGCCACAAATTCCAGAAATCCACTCGCCTCGGTCCTTCCTTCAGCTGCAGACAGAACAAGCGTCCCCTCCTTTCAAAGCTATCGTTTCTTCCACCCACAGAGGGTACAGCGTCAACAGCATGCCCCGATTACCTACAGCAACAACACAGAAGACTTTCTCTGTCTTCCTTTGCTCACCGGCACGCCCCCAGTCCTTCTTCCCGCAGCCGGCCTCGGGGCAGTCCGGGCAGCCAGAGACAGAGCTGGACGAGGCCGGTTGATCACTTCTCTCCGACCCTGCGCCGCGGTGGTTACGCCTCCGTTGGAACTAGCAGCTGTGGCTGTAGACGGGCTGGAGTCCGTGTTCCCCATAGCACTGCAGCTGGCGTGCGAGCTTGCTCCTCCCCCTATGTTCGCAGCGCTCTGCTCGCTCCCAAACCTCTACAACGACTGCTGCTGCTTGCTGCCACTTCAGGAGTAGGATGATGGCGACGAAGAGAGAGGTAGTCGGGGATATGATAGAGACTCGCCCGTGCACTGCTCGATCTAGGACCGAGGCAGGGCTGTTTTGCGCAGTACGCCGCTGTACGCTTCGCAGTGACAGCACGCGATGACCCACTTGGCCGCTGCTGTAACGTCTGTCCCTCCGTGCTGCACAGCACAGCAGACCTCAAGAGGTCTTTCGCCTATCCGTGCCGTTGTGCCCCCCCCCAATACCCTCCAGCGAAGCATGCCTTCATTCACGGTGCCGCCGACCTGGGTTTCAGGCGGAAGGCAAGGGATCACATCCACCTACCCCCCGTTATCGTACGTCCACATTGTTCAGCATACGGCAGTAGACACCGACGGTAAGATGGAAGGGCGCGACCACCAGGCGATGCAAAGAAAATATCAAGAGATGGTCGCGGACCTGGACAAGATCGACGCACAGCTTGTTCGAAAAGTGAGAGTACAATTTTTGCATGCTTCGCTAAGGATAAGGTGTGACCGGTGCAAAAGGTATGTAAGTGCCGACATGAGTGCCTCTGCTGCTGTACAGCAGCATGTTGCATGTTGCAATGGTCTCTTGTTCTTTTTGCACTCTACCGACCTAATTTCAAAAGTACATCACGGCGGCTGCAAACAGTATTCCAGTTTGAAGAACGATCTGCTGGCATCCTGGGGTCTGCCTCCACGAGAATGTGAGAAATGTCTTGCGAACAAGTATGCATACGACGCGTCGTTGACCGACTTCGTCGTCGCCTTGTCTGCATACCACACAGCAGTAGCACGAATTCCAAAGAGAGAGAGTGCTCCGAGTGTTCAAGGCACAGTGAGTTAAACCAGAGTTTATCGCCATGTGATTTTTGCAGTTGTTTCCTTGCCATTACAGAAACAGCAGTACTTCTTCAATCTTTATCAGCTGACATGCATACCTGATGCCTACCACTCTACAACTACTGCTGTGCCCAGCGACACATACTATATACTTCTACAACGTTCAGGGCTGTTCGATTGGCTAACATACGGACGTTACAACGCTTACAAGCGAATGAGCAGGGTTCGACTGGGGTCCCTTCGAGTTTTGAGCTGTTCAAAAAGCTGCGGTCGTACAAGATGCAGAAGTCTAAAGTCACTGGGCCTCAAGACGAGGTCAAACATCGCGTTGCCGGGAAACCACAGGGATCAGGCCGCCTCTGAGTAAGCCCGCGGCTCTATCTCTCTTATCTTCAAGCCGTCTGGTTTTTTCTATTTTCGGCTAGCGAAACACCCCCTTAACAACGAACTCGAGGAGCATACGATGGTGGCCTCGCACAGCAGCTCTCATGCATCGATCGTAGGTAGGCACATCATGCTGAGAGGCACGTCTCCGCCGTGATGGGTTGAGAACGTCCTTGATTGTCCTTGATTGTCCTTGATTGGAGCCCCGTGAGAAATACCGTGACCTGGAGCAGATCAATAGCAGTACGACAAAAGATCTTCTCATCCCCGACAAGACAAGCTTCTCCCGTTCGCCGCACACAGGGGTGTCGATCGAAGGAGGTGAATTGTTGGCCTTGGCTACGTAACGAGCGGCACCGTGATCTTATCTTTTGTCTATCCACTGCTTCATATTTCGTCTCGCGTCCTTGGATTCATGCGAACCTTTTGTCTCTCCGCCGCTCCTTTGTCTCGCGCCCTTGGCTGCACGCGACGTGGTACCTGCTGTACGTCGAAACAGGCCGCGGAGTTGTGCACCAAAGCGTGCATAGGCAGCACCAGCCTCAGCAACAGCGAGGTAGTGAACGCGTGCATGCTAAGGTGCGAGGCGTCCCGCCCAGTCTTGGACCAGACGGTTCAGCAGGAGCTGACCAATCTACAGGTGAACAAGCGTCACCGGTTACAGAGCCAAGCTTCGCGTTCGTTCCGAGTAAAGAGGGCAGACTGGAGCCATAGTCCATGACGAGCAGTGGAGAGCAGGGGTCACGCGGGTGGACTTTTAAATGGGGCGGCCACCCAACAATAGAGCTTGCCGGTAGCACCAAACGCCGCCTGGAGAGACTCGCAAACAACGGCCCATTCACCACGTGTTATTATTTTAGGCAAGATGGTGGTGGCAGGATCATCTTTTCGCATTGTTGGCGTTTTTTCCGCGTGTTCTTCCTCGTTGAAAACTTGACACGTATGCCCACAGGTTTGAGGCATCGCGGCCAAGCGTATACTACCTGCGTTCGAGCATCATCATCACATCATCATCGTCATGTATATTTTCTGGGCCCGTCTGTGTTTCCCTTGCTTGATTTCGATAACAGCAATGTGTCTGTTGGGTAGTTGGTCCGTGACCACGGAAGGCGTCCGCGTCAGTTGGACCGGTACGGGTGTTTACATGGTACGGAACAGAGATCGGAACGGTATTTATATAATAGTCAAGACAACAACACCAACACCTACAATAACAACGATTATCTTCTGTGTGTTGCTTGGTCGCCGGTCGATGCAGGGCCTCATGCAGCTGTGCGCGTTGGACTGCGCCGACAAAATGGCCGTCGCCGTTCCACCGGGGACCAAGGAGGGCGACCCCGTCATGCAGCAAGGCGCGTTGCAGGTGAGAACAGCCGACGGCAACTGGGTGCGACCATAAGCAGTCGTATGTAGCCACTTGGTTCCGTTGTACAGAGATTCGCGAAGTTTAGAGTTCTTTCATGTGTTGTTTTCGCCAGCAGATGACGCAGAAGTGGGAAGGTTCAATGGCTTGCATGCACAGCAACCGGTCTTACACATGGTTCTGTTTTTCAGAGATTGATGATTGATGGCTTGCTGTGTGGCTATCGGAGCAGGCTTGCGGGTTTTAGCGAGAACGCGGCGTGGAAAAGAAAGCGCAACTTGCGATGAACCTTGAGCTGCTGCTTGCCAGTGTCGAAAGGGTTTGTTGTGTTTCTTTCATGTGCATCGACGGCGCTAACCAGCTGACTGACCAAAACGGAAGCACGTCAGTCTTCCGGAAGAGAAGCAACGGAAGCACGGTTTGTGTGCGTGTGTTCTTTTTGTCTGTTTTTCTCCCATCATTGGACTCTGTCGTCTGCCCCTCTGGCCCCTATCCTCCACTTCTACCAGCTAGACGACCCAACCGGGGTCACATAGGAGGGGGGGGCTGGACCCCCTCCTGCGGTTCCTGCCTGAGGTATTTTTATCGTGAGAAGGGTACAGCAATCCCTTCCCTCGCGACTTACGAAGTCGATTGTGGTTTACTAACAAACGAGCTTTGCAGCGCGTCGCTTTCATCAGCTTGCGGGTTTTAGCGAGAACGCGGCGTGGAAAAGAAAGCGCAACTTGCGATGAACCTTGAGCTGCTGCTTGCCAGTGTCGAAAGGGTTTGTTGTGTTTCTTTCATGTGCATCGACGGCGCTAACCAGCTGACTGACCAAAACGGAAGCACGTCAGTCTTCCGGAAGAGAAGCAACGGAAGCACGGTTTGTGTGCGTGTGTTCTTTTTGTTTATTTTTCTCCCATCATTGGACTCTGTCGTCTGCCCCTCTGGCCTCTATCCTCCACTTCTACCAGCTAGACGACCCAACCGGGGTCACATAGGAGGGGGGGCTGGACCCCCTCCTGCGGTTCCTGCCTGAGGTATTTTCATCGTGAGAAGGGTACAGCAATCCCTTCCCTCGCGACTTACGAAGTCGATTGTGGTTTACTAACAAACGAGCTTTGCAGCGCGTCGCTTTCATCTAGACCAGGATATATTTGTGAAAAAATGCTCACTCTGCCGGCACTCGAACCCATGACTTGGCCGTTAGCACGCTGCGAGGCTACCCACTAGACCACCGGGGCGACCGGTGTGTGTGTTCAAACGAGAGTATTTTCTGTGCTTGCAAGTGAAAGGTTTATTGCTGGCTGGCGGTTTAATGTTGACAACCGATAGAGGGAAACGAGTGACGCAGAGCGTAAGTCCTGCTCTTGCCGTGCATGTCAAATTCTTCTTTCGCGTGTGGCCCTTGACGCGCCCATGTCGAAGCCCATCCATGACTTTGACGACGTTCAAATTACCCTCCGTCTTTGACATCATTTTGTCTCTGTTTACCTTGCACCGGCCGCAGAACATGGAGTGCACAGCGGCGTGTGCCTCCAAGTCAGTCGTGCTGATGTCAAGCACGCTGGCTAAGATTACGGCGGCAGCACATGAAGCGGCGAAAAAGGCGAATAAATAGCTTAAGGTTACAACACTGAAGAGAGCCCTCCACATAAAAACCTGGTAGAACACAAAACGTCCGGTAGGCCAATTGAAGGCCATTCCTTGATTTTGAGACAGGTTTGGGTTATTTAGTTTTTGTTTCCCGGCCGTATATCAGTAGTTGTCACGCGGAGATATCAGAAGGGAGGTTGTTTTCGAGGTCGAGGCTCGATTTTTTTTTGCTTCGTCGCTACCGTCCGTGCAGCAGGTTAGTTTAGAAAGTAATTCTTCGTCACTTCTACGTAGTAACGAGAGTTTAGCGTTCGACCCACCGCTGGGCTGTGTTTCTTACGTTGGCGAGACGATCGGAACCTCTGTCTACCGGCGCCAGCTGCTGCGCTTGGACGACGCACAGCTTGCGACCAAGAAAGCAATTGCGATTCTTTCACGGTGACGTTTTTTTGACGTTTTGACGAGCAAGGAAGATATGGGGGGAGGTCAGGCCAGGGTAGTTTGTGATGTAACACCAACAACACTAGTAATCATTGCTCGTGTTCATGCTCCAAGCTTTATTAGGAGACATACAGCAGTATGCATAAATACGCACACAGAAAGACTACCCGTTCGAGATATAGCCACAGCAGTCGAACGGGATGTGGTGGAGTCTTCACAGTGGAGGAAAACCGACTAGGTACTGGACTTGTTTCTGTGTACAAGGAACTCAGTACTCCGAAGCACGGCATGCTAAAAACTAGAAGTAGGAGTTAAGAGATCCATTCGTTGGCGTGATGGGGTACGAAACCTTTCTTTCGGAGAGTGCCATGGTAGAACAGATACGGCGTACAACATGTGCATAGAGCGGCAGGGACAAGCACGTACGTATTTATTTGCGAGCCATCGGGTGTGATCCGGGGTGCATAAAAGAAGCCGATACAACTTGAGCATGGTGATAGAGTTCGCGTTGCCTCTTTCAGTAACTTGCCGAAGATCTCTTTTTTGCGAATGGTCCTGATCTTTGGGGGCAGGCACACCATTGGTATTCATACCTCGCTGTTCGGAAACACAACGAAGGGCCATTCGAATACTAATATAGCTATTTGTTGTGACTCTCCCAGTGAGTTCTCTGTTTTGAGCGTTTAGTCTGATACGGAGCTGCGCGGCCGCGCAGCCAATGTTGACCAAAGGGGTGTACTTCTACCTCCTATCGTGGGACAACTTGTTTTTGCTGTGTACACTCAAATTAAAACGAGATTCAGCTACAACATGTAAACTTGCGCCTGGAGCAAAGCTCTAAAAATCGAGCAAGTCGGTGATCGCACGAACCGTTCTGTGCGCCGGTCTCCGGTTCTTAGGTCGTCAGAGGGCACACACAGAAGAAACCCCCCACCTATGTTTTCCAGTTGTGAATCCCCTGTCAGCGCTAACCAACTTGCAATATGGTATATGACCTACTACCATTGCCAACTTGCAACGTTGCTGACTTTGCAGCTTGCAGCGACCCATCAAGGCAGCCAGCAGCAACAGCGAGCCCATACAGCCATAGCAGCGCACACCAACAGCAGACGATGACTGAACAGGACCAACAAGCACTGCAGAAAGGATTCCAGGGCCTAGGAGACAACATCGACAGATTCTATGCGAGACCCCTGCAGAAGGTATGCGGCAATTAATAGCAGGTCGTTGGGTGTTAAGGATCATCCGCACCACAGTAGCTATTAGCTGTGGCGGTTCACTGTTGGGGCTGCTGGGCACAAGGAAACAAACCAAACAGGAGTAAGAGGTCGTTCGGGCTGCACGCCGGTAGGCTTGTCGGGGTGTTTTGTGGTTCATTCTGATGGCGTCTCCCACCGGTTGGTCTGTGGGCTACAATATTTTGACGTTGCTACGGCGGAGGACGGCCGCACCTCAGCGGAGAGAGACACAGAGAGGACGGAGGTGGGGGGGTGAGATGTGCAATACAACTACAGACGATATAACCATAGAGCTTCTTCCGCACCAGTTTCCAGAATGGCATGCACGTGAACAAGCTCTGCGACAGCGATTACATCAATAAGCCGTTTCGCACAAAAATGAGACATTCCTCCCGCAGCGAGAGCCAAACGTCCGTTTCAGGAGACAATGAAACACTCTCTCTCCGCAGCAGCCTCTGATACGTGATCGGGATAGAGCTGAGCTATCCGACCTCATCTGTAGCACGTATGTAGCTCTACACAGTACCGTCACCGTCAGCGGCAAAGGGGATCGCGTTCTGCCGTTGTAAGGTGAGAAGACATGGGAGTCAATACTCAATATTCGTGACGGCCCTGTTGTCTAGACTACATGCACCGCTTTGGAAACTGCTGTACCAATAACGGTCGGTGAAACACCAGGCACACCTCCCCCTCTTTGTTCCGTCTACCGCACCGCCCGTCGAAGGCCGCGTATTTGTGCATGAGTAAGTGCAACGACAACAGCAAGATGTCCAGCGAAGCCGTCGCCGCGTGCATGAAACGGTGCGAGGGACCGCTGCAGGAGATCAACAAGGTCGTGCAGGAGGAGGTTGGTGGCCTACAGGTGAGTCAACGATAGCCATATCTCGCGATACATCATCATTAGAATCGACCTCCACTCACTGAACAGACTCCAACACATCCCGTTCGACTGTGGTTGTATCTCGAATGGGTAGTATCTCTGTGTTTTATTTTCATTTCCTAAGCAATTTTGGTTAAGTTAGCCTGTGACCACGGGAATCGACCCCGTCAAGTTTAAGACTAGTAGTACGAACAGAAGAAGGTACTGGGCAGAGAGAATGGAACGGTTTTTTAATGTGAAGACAACAACAACAACAACAACAACAACAACAATCATTAGAAAGGGCCCTTTGAGACGGTTGTCTCCGGGTTTGAGTTGCGGGTCCAATTCTTTTTGTGGAATGTGTGGTGTGGGCGACCACACCCTCGTGTTCCGTGTGTCTTGAGAATGGTACGTGGGAGGGCGGTGGACGATGCGGGCTGTGCGTTGCTCGGAAGTGTCAATTTCGACGCCGACACCAACGAGAAAATGCTAAATACTCCACGCTCATCTTCGGTACAAGCGGTATTCACGCTCGTGTTTGATTGAAAAACCTGCCGCTGCTTGTGGTACTGCCATACGGGTGTATGCTGCTATGCATAAGACACAGCATATCTACAAACGACTTGCACTACACTACACAGCAGCATTTCACAACGTTACGCGCAACGGAGGGGAGGGCCGTGCGCCAGAACTTTCTGTATACATACCACTTGCGCGACAGTCGTGTCCTGCCGCAACAGCGGCACCAGTTTCAATCGCACCAAAATAGCAAGGAATCCCACGCCACCATCGTACTCCACGTCCTCGTTGGTTTACCCCTACCGCAGAACCGGATGCAGCGCTGCGCCATGGATTGCGCCGACGATGCGAAGGACTTGATTCCGGCCGGGGCGAAAATGGGGGACGCGGTTGTGGAGCGAGCAATGGCGCAGGTGAGGCACCGGCAGCCATAGATTGTAGCGTGCGGTCTGCGCTGGCGATCGATTTTTCCCACTTGAAGTTAGGAGGTAGCATAGGTGCGGTGTCATCACTTGTGCTACGACACCTGACTCGGGGGATGTATCCGACGACTGCCCCTATTCACTACCGCGGGCATGATTATGCACTAAATACCAAAGACTGCCACTCTACATGCGGTATTGGCAGGAGTTGCGGGTAGAAGCCACACGACCAAAAAATACTGTTGAAGTGTGGCCTCGAGCACAGGAAGTCAACGCGCCCTCCCTCCCCTTGTGCATGTGTCTGTCTCTTATTCTTCGCCTCTCAGAACATCAAATGCACAAGCGGGTGCGCGAAGAAGCATTTGGCGCTTCTGCCAAATGTAGAGGCCAAAGTTAAGGCGGTCGCGGAAATGGTGGCAAACTCGAGTTGACGATCCACGCCGAAGGATGTTCGCTGACTTTTCTTTTTTTCTTTTTGAAGAAAGGGAAGGACACACCTTGTTGCTACGTTTTTGATAGGATAGTTTCAGTACGGTAACGAGATTGTCCTGAACAAATCGGGGGGACTCCGGCGCACGAAACTTCCGTTGGTCCCCCTATCACCGGAGTTTTACGTTTGGGGTTAGAGCTATAGGTAAGTTTGGTTTTGTGCATGAAGAGAGTGATGAGGGAGGGCACTGGAAGTTCCGCGCAACTCCTGCTGGGAAAATATTCCATTGCGGCGTTCCTATATGTGTCGCTCGATACGTTCGACGGCACGGCGTTACTTCGGGCTAGCCGGCGTAATGGTTTGATCTGTTAACTTCGAGGTCGACTCCGTTCTTGCGAGAAGCGATATGGTGGTCCGGTATTGTGAAAGGGCTGTTTACCGTTGTGCTCGTTAACTGCTGTGCCGTGCATCGACGTTGAGTTGCCACACACGCCAAGAACGGGATGGATGGTGTGGTAGTGGGAAAATGGTCGGAACGGTCTTCAGACAGTGTCAGGACAACTCATCGATGTCGATCGATCTCGGGGCGCGCCAAATGGAGGGGCTGTTTGACCATGTATCTTCCCAAGGAAAGCGGAACAACACGCAGGGCTGCGCATACGCATACGCTGCTAGTCTTAGTCTTTCCCCTCCCTTGACGCGCCACTCAGCACATTGATTCTGTATCCAATGATGAACCGATTTTTTTTTAAGAGACGACTCGTTCGCCAGTTTTTCGCTTGTATTTTCGGCGTATCTGAATCCCCCACCGGTGGGGTGTTTCGTAGTTTCTGCCACCGGTGGGGGATTAGTGTCTAAATACGCCACCAGCTGTATCTCGCCCTACGAGGCACCAAATCGACGTAGGACATGCGCAACTTGTGTTGCTGTGTTGGGGGCCTACCGTCGGACCCATCTTGCAGCCGAAACGGTTCACGTTTGGTGCAGCCACGGCTGATTGGGGAATTTATCAGCTGCCCGAACCTGGCCCACTGGTGCGGTACATAGCCTTGAATACCCCACCACCTGCATGTAGCCCTACAAGGCACCAATCGACGACGAAATACCCCACCGGGGGTGGAATTCAGGCACGCCGTTTTACGGTTTTATTTTACATCAGGAACGCCACCCTTACTGATGTTCTAGACTCGTTTTTCTACACGAACTGGAAAAGAAGACGACAAAAAGAGAAGACCCATTCGCCTACCTGCCATGGTGCACGACTACTACGATGTTGTTGTGCCTCATATCTTCTGCTGAGAACACGACTGTTGCCCCCGTTGACACACACATCCTCACGAAACTCCCATCATCACCACCATCCTATTCGGCAAGGTCATTCTAGCTGCAGAATAAGCTCTCTCGGGAACACTTTTCAGCTCGCAACGAGACCGACCACACTTTCACGTATTCGTGCCCTTTCGAGTGTGATCCAGAAAGCCCCCGCCGTGTTTCCTCGTCCTACAAATGTCTTCAAGTAGTGCACGGAATGAGGCCATGCACCCCCCCGCCCCCCTCGGTGTTTGCCATCGGGGTTGGATTTTCGTCGCTTGGCAACGACGTTGTAAAACAAGCCATTTCACTTCGTGAACTCGGCAACCAGGTTACCGGGTATTTTTTTCACCTCTGTTTTTTTTTTGGCTGTAACCATAATGGTGGTCGAGTAGATCATGTTGTGCGGGGTGGAGAAGCCTCACTCCGCGCAAGGGGGATGATCGCACCACGTTGTGTTCAATTGGTCAAGCACCCTCGAGGCAGTTACACCGTGCTTACAACTGTCTTTGCAAGTGACAGCACCAGAAAATAAACCAAGTCATACGCAGCTGTCATCCGTACGCAAGGAAGTAAGC